AGATGGTGCCTACCTTTCCCCATTCACCACTTAATGCTATTGTGATTAGCCCCCACCAATCTACATTATTGGGTCAAATCCCTGCCATTTTCCTTTATTTTTAAATGAACATCTTCTGAGCCACATCACCGTTGGATTGTGTAAAAAGAGAAGGATTCATAGCTCAGTAAAATAAAACTTTTGTCTCAAGGTAAATACGGTAAGCATATGCTTAAAGACTTTGTGGACAAACAATACAGTTTGTAGTTGTCAAGCCTCTTTCTTGTTCTCTTTTTGCTGGTCCTTGTTAGGTGGCGATTTAATAGGTTGCCTTTGCCAACAACTGGTGTCAACAATCTATTTTCTATAGACACAGATGATATTTTAAGTAATACATGGATCACTTAATGCGTTTTCAAGACCATACCTCTCACCCTCTGGATTCTAACTCTTCTCATCCCAGTCCCAGTCTCCTTGTCCAGCCTGTCCCATTTCCCCACTGCTGACTCCTCATTCCATCTGTCTACACCTGTCCTGACTGGCTCCCAATTTCACTCACTGTCTCCCAGGCCCAGTCTTCTGCCATCATCCCAATCCTAACCTCCTTGCCCAAACAGTCCCAGCCTCCCCTTTCCACACCCCATGCTCCCAGTCCCAGTCTTCTTCCTCAACCAGTTCCAGACTCTTCAGACTCCTTGTCCCAATCTACTCCTTTTCCCTCCTCCCGGGCTTCTGTTTTTCTCCCCTCTGCATTGAAACCAGGTGCTTTCCCTTTCCTGAGTGCCAGCTGGGGAGTCATCAGGAGCACAGGAGAGACAGACTCATTGCTTTCAGTCCTGATGCACAGTCCCATCCCATACCAGAGCAGCTGAGATCTAAGAAAGTCCTGAGTCCCACAGCCCTGGGCTGGAGCATGCTCAGTCACCCTGTGGGGGGGGATGTATGTGCAGTTTGGTCAGCAGTAGAATCTGGGAGAGGTTTAAGCATGTTCAGTGAGGGTACAATTTTCAGAGATTTTTACCTGTAAAGCTCTAGCAAGTCTCTACTGAGCACGTGAAAACTGCAATTTTTCAATGGCTTATAACTTGGCTAAAGTTCGGAAGATTTTCACAAAGACAGCCTTGACACAAAGGTCCCTCACTACCTAACTTCAAGTCCCTACTACAAAGTATATGGACATTAGAGCATTTCAGAGAGAAGGCTGCAATAATGGTTTTAACATGGCAAAACATACCTTTCTTTAGCCTCATTCTCAGAAACAGCTGTGCTGTTTTGGCTACAGTTTCCCCAAACAGGCAGAAAGTCGGGCATGTAAAATTGCAGCCCAAATGCCTAAAGTTTTACAAAGTTATACGCAACTGAAATTAGGGTCTTATAATAATGGAAAGTGTTGGACAACCTTAACAATAGGCGGTGCTACCAGCTCCATCAATAATACAGTTACATGAGTAGTATTCACAAAATATGTGGGCCTAATTTTGGAGATATTGTAGGAAAAATTTTCAAGCACTATCTCGGAGAGGAAAGTGGTTGGAAAGTGACCACTCATCAGACACAGAATCTGCTTAAGTGAAGAAATTCATCATCTTCAGAGTCTGAATTACCTACACCCTACAGTATGGATTTGTTCTTCACGGTGTGCCATAAATTGATTATGCCTGTATGAGTGGCCTGATTGTTTTAAAGGTATTAATATCCAGCAGCTCCTTTTCTCTTCAGTGGGAGTTACTGAGTCCTCAGCATTTTTGAAAATCGTGCTCAGATTTAGGAATGTAACCATGGACTTAGAACTCTAAATGTAGGCACCCAGTTTAGGAAGTCTTGGTCAGGATTTAACTGGGAGAAATCATCAGGGCTGGCCATAGGTATTTTGCCTGCCAGGGTAAAAAACATTTTTGCCACACCACCACAAGTGGCTGAGCAAAACAAAAAACAATCAAAAACAGCCAGCCTATTAGTGGAGGAAGGGGTGAAAAAAGGCAGAGTGACACAGTGGTGTGGCACACCCACATAAGCTGGGGCCTAGGGTAATGGCACAGTTGGCCCGCCCCTGGAAATCACACTGAGGGACCAACCTGCTGATATTCTCAATTTTGAAAAATGTGCACGAAAATTCTTAACTTTCATTTATGATCTCCCTCGTCTAGTAGCTGTTCTTCCTCCACACCAAGGGAACCAAACCCTGGATTTGTTAACTTTCTGGACACACTAGAGAGGTCATTTTGGAGTGTGGTCATATAAAGGGGCTATTATAGGTTTATTGTTATAGTGGGTGAATAAAATAATGTTCATTGTCAGAAGTCCATTACCTTTATATATGCTGTTATATTTCATCTTAGAAATTAGTAAAAGAACCTAGCACCAAGGACAGGCAAATGTAAAATAACCCTTAAAATTATTTTGGATAAGATTCAATTCTGCATCTGTTACATTCTTTATTGAGGAACTATATCCTACAATCACTCAATGATCTAATATATCTTTTTTCATCTCTAACTGCTAAGATGTAAACAAATAACTGTTTTCCTCAAAGGAAGACAAGTCATAATAGCTTAATATTTTTCCCCTCACAAAGAGTTCTGTTGTCCAAAGGACAGCAAAACTTTGAAACATGGTAGTACAATTTGTTTTCAAAAGTGTCACAGTATGCTCGGGTAACTCAAAATTCCTTTATACCAATGAACAAGCATCTTATAGCTTATGGGCTCATATTTTCATTTAAAACCTTCTGACAGGAGGTTTATGTATCTAAAAGTATTATTTTCACCACAGTATGACTTAAGTGCAAAGGACCAGTGGGAAAACTCGCAGTGTCCTGCCTGAACTGCAGTTGCTATTTTGAAACCCCCTTCTTCTAAAGTTTTAAATAAGCATTTAGAACAAGAGCTAAGATTTTAAATCTTCAAAAGTACTGCAGTGGGCTTACTGCACAACATATATGTTGGTGGTAGCAGATAATGTGTGCATATGCAGAGCCTTTTAGGTGCTGTGATGTGAGATCTATAAATTCACCACATGTTTAAAGGGATGCTGTCAATTTTACATTTTTTTAGAATTAGCCAATTGCAAAATATCAGTTTTCTGATACAGTCGCCTTCAAGTCTCCAGTAGTATATTCTGACTTTTTATTTAAAAAAAATAAAGAGAGTAGTTACTCTTTTACTGTGTTTATTAAGGGTCTTTAGATGGTCCCAAGCGCAATAAAACAAAACATGCTGCAGATCAGCCCTTCTCCTTTCTCTCTGTGCAAACACCTGCTTTGCTGCTACTGTAATTATAAGCACCCTCTTGAAGAGCCTTGGGTGAGTGTGCAGATGGGATCCTCAGAGAGCAGTGCACCACAGAGATGCAACTGAGGCCAAGAACTCAGTGAAACTTACTATCCACTAAGTGCTGTCAAATGCACACAGCAAAATTAAAAAGAGGAAAAGTACCTTCTCCTCTAAGGTTACTTACTACAATAATTGATACAACATTTTAAGATGAAGTGTGATTTTCCAAGTTGACAGTGTACACACACTTTTAGGTCACATAGTCTTGAGGCATAGTTTTTAGAATTTTATAATGGATTCAAATTACATGTATATATACCTTATATGATACATCATCATAGAATGATCAATTCATCTCTTTAAACCAGCAAGGCACAGCATCAAAGTGCAGGTTAATATGCACACTTATTTTAATAAGATTACTAAACTTCTTTTCCTATTAATCAACAGCAAAAATAAAGCAACTATCAGAAAGAAACTTTACATTGCATAAGAAATGGATGCTTTTAATTTGCACTTCATGTAAGATTATAATGAACAGGACTGATATCAACCAACCAAATTACAAGAAGGATCTTTACTATATTTATTACATTAAAAAACAGTCAATCAGAATCCCAGTTATTCTTAGAATTATAGTATACTTTATCTATAAAAGTAGTTTTTAACAACAATAGCACAGTGAGCAATCTTCACTAGACGAAATGTTGACCAACAATCTTTTGCAATAATACATGTTACTGGATACATATCTCTTATTTTAAAAAGAAAACATTCAACATTATCTTTTTACCGAAGATTTGGCTTTAAGCCACACAAGAGATCATTATCCGTGACCACAATTCCACTCCATTGACATTCATGAACTTACCTGGATGTATAGCTACATGACCTCTGAACTTTATAATTAAACACAGTGTGTTTTATTTCTTCTAACCTTTCAGCTTTTACTTCTGCTCCATCTCCTGGATTCATGAAAGCACCTCTGTTTAAGAGAGCACTTAAGCACATGTTTAACTTTCCTTACACTTTTGGCATTTCTCTATACAAGTCACTGGGATTTAAACCAGTGCTTAAGTGGTTTCCTCAATTGAGGACAATACTTATTTATTTGTATTATATGTAGCACTTACAGTGTGTGTCTGTGTAAGACAGACAGGCAGATGCAATAAAATGACAGCCACTAAACTACTTCTCAATAACATTAAAGATTTAAAAACTATTTAAAACTAACTATTGCCCCCTCCCCGCAATAACCTCAAGAAACCCACAAAACGATCTGAGAATTGTCAAACATTTTCCAGTTCAGCTTTAGTAAATGAAAGAAAATCTGAAATCAATGTTTTTATTACAAACACTAAGGGAAGAAAGAATGTAGATAATGGCGCCAACCAATGGCTTCTAAATGGAGGATCAATATCTCATACTATTTTACAAAAAGAAATAAAACCCCACTGCTGTAATGATGTGAAAGAGATCACATCATTACAGATCGGGTTACCAGTTTGATCTGATGTTTTAAACAGACTATAAATCTGGCTATAGCCATTTCTAAATCTAAATCACAATTGTTAAAGCCAGAGAATAAAAAAACCCTATACAACATAAATATTGAGTACCATCCCACCAATTCCACACAAATCTTTGAAAGTAGACACATAACTAGTTGACACTTAATTACAAAGCATTGTTTTTGTGTTGCACTATATCATGTTGAATTACTAGATTAAATGATCTGCATTACCTTACCTGATACATTCCAACTCCAATGTGCTTGGGCTCAATTTTCACTAGCTCAGCTAATGGATCTTGTACACGTCTAGCTATGGAAACTGAAAAATAGAAGTAGAAAACAACTGTGGTTTTATGTAAAGAGCAGAACTGCATAATTACTTTTGTTAATATTTTTCAGTGTTGTAGATATTTAATCTCTCTTTTTTTGCCTGGAAAAAATCCACGTAAATGCTTTAACTGAGAGAAAATGTTTTATTACAAATGAAAGCAGCACAAAGTTATCATCAAGACACATTCTTTTCTCAATGTTTTCCTCATTGTTAGAAATATAAGTGGAAATCTATACTTACTGGACTTTTTTTTTAATAATTCAAAGGCATCTCGATGTTCATTTTCACAGGCCTATTAGTTAGTTGGCTTTTGAATCCAGTTTCAATTAGTCTGAGATAATTACATATACAGATGAAAAGTTTATTTTTATAGAACAATGATTTCATACTAAAAATGAGAGTACGACATTTTCTGTTACTAAGTTCTGAAATTTCCTCTGAATCTGAGTTGTAGAAATTTAAATGACATTATTGATGTTTGTAGATATTTCTCATAAAGTGAAAATTTAACTCTGATTCGTTACATTAGTTCTCCACAACATAAAAATCTCATTGTACCTTGTACATCTGTAGTTGAATTATCTATTAATTAAACTCTAAATGATCACTTTGAAAATGTACTGGGTAGCAATATCAGGATACGTTTACACAGCAACTGTCAACCTAAAAACCACCAAGAGTGTATTAAATAACATGTACACAGAAAGTATCATTTTCAAAAGAGCCTAAGTCACTTAAAAGTCCAAGCCCCATTGATTGAACTTTGATGCTCCAGAAAATTTTACCTAGCATCTCAGTTAATTTGATTTAGTACTGATTAAGTACTGATTCTTGATTGAGAATGCCAGGCTGCAAATCAACAGACAGTATAGAGGACAAAACTGGCTGCCACTTTTATGAAATAACCAATTGCACACAGGAAGGAAGATCTTACCAAACTCAAGCTCTCTCCATTTGTAACCTGGATACCTGGTCCATTGCTGGAACCTAAGAGCTGTTGTTGTAGCCAGGCCATAACATACTAATCTCTCAGAGTTGGCATCTACTTACAAAATCTGACTCTTGAGCTAACTACGCAGACATTGCTCCCTCCCATTCACAACAAACAGAAAAGTCTTACCCGATGAACATTAAAATGTGTAAGCTCCCTCGTCTCCCCAGCATGACAGATCAGAGAAGGCAGGTTGCTTGATTTAACTGCTTTTCTGAACTATCTCATGTTGGTAAGGTGTCCCTGCCCAGCTACGGAAATCGTGACATGGAATACCATCATGCAAGATGTTCCATGAATATCGAAGTGCAGATCCGGGCCTTCAAGAATGGCAGAAATATGCATGTAGGGCAAACCTACCCATGGGAGGTTGGAATTGGGTGGGTTACCAGCACAAAATTCCTTCTCAAGACTAAACCCAACGGTTCCTAATACTACACCATGCAGAACCAGACAATGAGCCAGTAAGATACAGCAAAGCACCTCCTTACAAAATATCAAAATCATTCATCAGAGGGTGAATCATAATACACAGAGAATTTGAAGAAATGAAAGGCTGAACAGAATTGCCTACTAAGACTCAGCATGTTAGTGAAATGGATATCAGCCAGTCATCATGTGCACTGACAAGTAAACAGGCCTGTCTGCACCTGAGGCCTCCTACTGGCCATGAAGGCTGAATTTACAATGGTGACGAGGGCCTTTCCCCTCCATCCCCACCAAGAGGCTGGTCTGACAGTCAGGGATCACTGGGTCACAGGGATGTTCCGGACACACTCCTTATGCCACAGCCAAGAGGCGGGTGGCATAGTAGTCACAACAAACAGAGTCCCTCGATGCAAAGTAGGATCCTTCAGGAGCCAGGTAAGCTGGTATTAAGCTGCACCACCAGTGCAGCACAAAGCAGCTTAATGCACTAGAGAATCAGTCCTGATATGTGGTTATAAATAAACCCTGTAGTGTACTTGCCATAAGGGAGCAAATATATTTTGTTTTCCATTGTGAACCCAATAAGATTGTAATAGTATAAACCTAGAATATATTTTCAAAGGAGGGTTTTTGTTTTTATGACAAATTAACTAATTAGTTATAATGTAATGACTGTTATTTTTACTCAGATAGGGTCTCGGGGCCCCAATCGGGGCCAGTTGGTTATTCTGCTAGGCACTGTACAAATACATAGAAATCGATACTTCTTGTTCCAAAGAGGTGACAAACTAAACAGACAAAGAAACAAAAGGAGGGGGGAGGGAGGGAGATACAAGCAAATGGTCAGGATAAAATCCATAGTCTCTTTTTGGTAGTTGAGGGTCAGGATGGTGGGGTAACAGGGTAGGAAGGGAGGGAAGAGAAGATGTATGGACAGAAAGAGCCTGATAGTCACAGGAAGGAGGAGTAGGAAGACTGGTGATTGAAGCAAATATCAAAGAGGGTGGAGGGAAAAAGGTCCAAGAGTAGATTTCAGCTCTGGTGTCACATGGCAGAGGGTTTGAAGGGCAGCCCCCGGAGAGGCTGCGGGTGCTTCACCTGCTGTAGATGTAAAAAGAGGAGAAGGAAGGCAGGACGGGAGAAGGCTGGGGTCTTTTATAAGAAACTGTCCACAACTGATCTGGGCACACTCCAAGAGCTATGGCTTAAAATTATATTTGGGTCGTTAATATCTCTTCCCCCCCGCAATGGTACATTTACTGGCATAATAGAAAAACAGTGAATAATGCAAATGTTCAAATTAACAGTTTACAGGAGCACAAAAATTTTTACATGCATCTTTAAATGGCAACTACCATTATTATAGGCTGACAAATAATTCATAAAGTTTCTGAAAAGAACTTTATTACACAATGATACTTAAAGCCAATATAGCAAACTTAATGCCTACTTGTTTCCCTCTTATGGAAGACTCCTCAAAACCACAGCCACAAAATATACCAACTGACTGTGGCATCAGGTACTTCACATTCAAAGATTTATATGATCCCCCTCTGATAAAAAAATAAGATGTACAGTTAATATTAAGTTCACTGCTCGGTCATGTAATACTTTTCACATCCTTTATTATTATAGTTTTAACATAAGCTGACAATGGCAGCTTCCAGGCTAGGCTTAGAAAGCACTATACAGTTGACATCTGATCTGCCTGCTTCTCTATCACAGAAGTTGTGAATTCAAAGGCTCTCACATATGAATTCAAAGGCTCTTGTCAAAATCACAAAAGGTTAATCAGTGCAAGTGCTCTAGATTACAACAGAAATGCTTTCCTATCATAATCACTCAGATAATTACCAATTGAACCGCCTGTGCTACTTACAGATCACTAACAGGTTTTAAAGTTAGCATAGTTTCACTCGAGCATAAAAACTAAAAATAAATAAAATCAAAATGACTTTGTTGCAAAACAGAAAAGATTCTTTTAAACTATTTTATACTACTGAACGCACACATAGATATAGTGTCAACAAGTCAAGTTTAAGGAAGACTGCTCAATTTCTATACAACTGTTTGACCTAAGTGTTTCTTAACTACAGAAAAATTAATCAATATGGAATAAATGTGCATAAGTGTGTTCTTAGAGAGCAAAGAATCTGAGAACAAAAATTTGCCACAGGCTATATGAATCTAATTATACCTATATAAAATAAACGGGCACAGGATAGTCGCAGCTAGAGGAAGGACAAGAGTGTTTTGAAATTTCTCACTGGACCCAATTTTAGCCTCATTTTATAAACCTTGGAACCTTCCTTTTTGTAAAAGTTTGGCTGATAACAATACTAGCATATCTCTGCAGGGTTTCTGCCCTGGAGGTAGGCCCTGATCCAGTAAAGCACTTAAGCTCATCCATACATGGGAATCAAAGAAACTATTCACATGCTTAAAAGTTACATAGATGCTTAAGTGTTTTCCTGGATTGGGGCCTTTGTGGGAGTCATGGGAAAAGTGGAGGACAAAGACCAACCAACAGATTATACAGCTTGAAGAAGAAAATGGAGAGTACACAACTCCTAATGCCACAATGGCACAGCACTGTGAAAATCTCCACGAAAGCCTCAGCTCTACCCCAGAATTTTTCTAACAGAAATAAAATAGAAGGTATACTATGAAAACCCACACCCTCACGAAGCATGCACCACCTCTCCTACCCTGACACAAGAATTGTGTCTAAAGTGTCTATATACGGATGTCAGAGTAATGGATTTCCATGATACTGATCCTTTAAGGGGGGCATCAATTTAAGGCCCCAATCCTGCAATCTGATCCACATATGTGGACTCTGGCACCAGAGCAAAGTCAACAGGGCTCTCTCCATGGGTGCAAGGTTTGCCCATATGGACCACCAGGGCCACAGAAGGTAAAACAAAAGCACCTGGGGGGAGGAGGGGATAAGGGGGGTTCATTCCCCATACAAAAGCAAATCACAAATTTTATTTAAAAAAAAATGAAGCAATATAATTTAATTACCAAAACTGATGAAGCTGTTTTAAATGTGCATTCTAGGAGTGAATAAAAACCATGTATTTTTAGAACATTTTTAGAACGGCAACTCATTCTCCATTTCTGAAGTTATTAAAGGATATTTCATTTTTGCTCAGAAAATATAAATGACACACTCGGATGGCCACGCAGCAAAATAAAATAAAATAAAATAAATCAATTTTCTTTTAAAATGTCAGCCAGGTCAAACATGCAGGAGATTTGAAATACCATTGTCAAAATACATTAGTCTAACTGAAGTAAAACTATGTGAAGAAAACTTTTTGAAATAAAACATGAAACCTTTTTACTCTTTGATTGTAAACAGCATTGTAACTTCAACATTGCGCTGCTTTTCAGTCACCAGAAAATATAATAACGCAAACTGCACATAGGCTGATGCAAAACCTCTTCAAAGTTGCCAATTATTAATAAAATATTCATTGCAACATTTGAAATTACAGTAATATATTCTTCTGCCATGCAGGAAAGCAATACAACATTTAAGAGCTTGAGGGGAGAAGAGGAG